GAGGAGAGAGAATAGGCAAAATTGGGTAGATTGCACAATTGGTTATTGCACATGCAGCGCCGAAACCACTATTTTCCAACGTGTATCCATCCCTCCTTGGAATAAACTTTCGATTAAAGTTGGGACAGGTGTACGGCCGTTTTCTCATCCCACCACTGCAACTGTGCTTAATCAAACAGGAACAATTCAAACAATAGCCCCCTGAAAGCTTTTCAAGTTGTGAATCGGTGTGGGCGGTACGGAACAGTTTCTGAGCTGGGTAACAATGGGTTTGGAGAAAGCCCCCTTGCGCGAGCTGCTAAAAAAGGGTAATGCATAGTTGGGTTAAAAGCGGGTGGGGGGAGGGGAGGGGGGAGAGGGGGGAGAGCGAGCGAGCGAGCGAAATTCATAGTAAAACAATAGAAAAAGAAAATTAACCTTCGGCCATGTTGCCCCACGGGCCCTCTGCTCCAAACTCGTGAGATGAAAACTTTCCCTGTGGATCGAAGTGGTCTTCTGCATTAATCTAACATCCTGATTTTGAACGATCGCAAATTTAGCTCGCATGGTCTAATGTGCTTTCCCTCTTTTGATTTTTCCCCGTCTCTCTCGCTCTGTTTCTGGCCCCCTGCGCACACGTGACTCGGTCAATTACATGCTTTCTTGCTACTAATTTCACATCGGATCCTTAAGGGGTTGGCAGGAGGCAGGAGCAGCCAATCGCCATTTCAACCAGCTTGACACACCAAAATAATTTATGAATGAACAAGAAATTTTCAACACGGCGCTTTTTTTTCTTTTTTTTTCCTCCTTCCTTTTCGGATAGCTAATCTGCACGCTTCTTTACGGGAAATAGAGATGACGTATTATTCTGGGGTTTCTGCCCCCACCCCACCCCACCCCCCGTGCATGCACAAATCCATAGGAAGATCCGTGTGTTTCCAGATACAGCCCACTGAACAGCAGCTACACGCAGGGGCGGCCGTGCAGAGGAGATTATGGGGGTATCTGTGCCCGCTGCAGGCGGGGTCCGCGTACGCACACGAAGGCGAGATGCTCACGGATGAGGGACACACGTGTGTACAGACGCGGACGGGGTACGCCGGAAGGCATCTGTGTCACCCTCTGCACAAAACGTGGGCAGATGCATAACCGGATCGTTACTAATTTCGCATTCAAATTAAAAGCGCGCCGGAAACGCGGTATCACCTTAATATGGCCCAGAATGTGCGGAGGTTTAGCGTTTCAAAACATTTCTGAAGGGGGGATGGGGCGAGGAATTGTACTTCACAGGTTTCTCCGCCATCTCTTTCCGGGGGAGGGGATGTGATTAATGACTTCCTAAATAAGAGACCAGTTTTCAAGCCGAGAATTGGAGTGAACCTCAATCAGCAGTTGGGAGAGGACTGCCAGAGAAAAGGGTTTACTGGAGAAGAGGAGGGCGGAAAAAAAAAAAAAAAACCCACACTAAAAAAACCCTTGGAAGAAGAAGACAAAGCGGGGAGAAATAACGCTGACCAGGGACTGCTGTTTTAAGTCTTCACTACCAGCGGGAGAGGGGATCCAATTCGGAGAAGAAGTGTGTGATGTGTGAAAGGCTTGGTCACAGCCCCTTTGAAAAGGCACTGCCCTTCCGTGCTCACAGGTACACAGCAATCGCCCTGCCCTGTAGCTTCTCCCGTTGCTGTATTCACCCCCAAATGCTCTTAAAATATTTTTATAGACGTCAGAATAAACAAACAGACTAATTAGGTGAGAATTCGTTTTATTTTCCATCTGTTTATCCTCGTTAGTGTAAAGGTAGAGATGAAAGTATTCTGTCCTCATCACCACCTACTCGCATATAACCTCGCATTACATCCAGCATTATATATATATGTTAAAAACGTTGCCCATACCTATTTAAAACCTGGGCTCAATGACTTTCTTATTAGCCCGCTCCTTCCCCCCCCAGCATTCTGTCTTATCCCAAGGACACACAAACAAAAGCCAAAGCAACAAACTGATCTGTGCAGAACCTGAATGCGAGGGGCTTATGCATTTGCAAAGCACTTGCTGTTGTTTGGGAAGTGGCGTCGATCAGTCTGCCCAATTAAGGGGAACGCCTTTGCCCCCGTGGGCCTGTTTACTCCTTTTGTTGCCTTTCAGGAAAGCGTCAATTCCCCCCCAGCGCCTCATTTCTGTGTGAAACACCAAGGTGGAGGCTCCGTGTGATCGTTTGCAAGAAAGAAGTGAGGGTGGGCAAGAGTGTACAAATACAAGCAGCCTGGCAAATGGAGCAGAAGCTTTAAATCCTGAAATTCCTTTGCAGTCGTCAACCGTAAATTTCCTATAGGTTATTTCAACAGTGAGGTCGACTTCCTACACTGACCTGCCTTACGCATTCGTGCAACATACCGCTGCTTTTGGCTCGTAACCTCCCTCCCCCCCTTACAAAAGCGATTATTTTACAATATTATATCAGTAATTTTATATGCTTGGATCTTATGACCTGGACGGTATGCAGTATATACATGTACGAGTTTTAACACACGTGAAACCCCAGCTATGAACGTGAAATTAAGGTTACCGGAAGAAAACAATGTTTACACCACTTATTTGAAATGCCCAAGAGTACATTTCTTGTGGCACAAGGGCACGTTTATAAAATACGAGTTCTCTCTGCCCTTCCCTTTGAAAAGACAGAAAATATCCTCTTTAATACCGTTTTAAAAGTATTTATTTTAAAACCCTGATTCAGTTTAACGACATTTGGTATAAAAAATCTTTAAAGGCTAGAATATTGGTTAAACAGACACAAACGAGTTGATGGAGTTCATTAAATGGACAAAGTGTCTTGTTAGCAAATTTCAGTGAGAAAAAAATCAGCATGTGTTCTTCGATGAATAAAGACTACAAAACTACATAAATAAAAGAATGTAAATATACTGGTTGCAAATTATTTCTTACGTTTCAAAATAAGTGCAGATTTTGTAAACTGGAGGGGGGTGGGATTTGCAATAGGTCTTTACTGAGATTTTCAGGCCTCCAGTATTAGTGGAATTAAGGCTGGGGTCACTGGACTGGTCACTGGTGTCAGATGTTATCGACTCATTCATTTCCTGCAAGGGACATCAGCCTTTCAAGTTTTGTGGAAGGTAGAGAGCTGTTGCCAGCTGAGAACTCTCCGGGAAAAAGACAGGGAAAAAAAAAAAAAAAAGAAAAAAAAAAAAAAGAGAAAACCAAACCAAAACAAACCACAACCCACTAACACCCTTCCAAAATTCATTCCCAAAAAAGAGGAGGAAAGAGGACAAATAGGGAAAAAGCCCTACATAACAAGCTAGTTCGAGGAAAAATTAGTCTAATGATAACAGTTGACCTATTAAAAAATATTTCTATCCTTACATTTCGCTAAATATATGCTAATTTTGATAAAAACAATTATAGGAAGCTGGAATAATTGTCTTTCTAACCCTAACCACCACCACCCCCGAAAGAAAGAAAAACCTTCACCTCAAAAAAAAAAAAAAAAAAAAAAAAAAAAAAAAAAAAAAAAAAAAAAAAAAAAAAAAAAAAAAAAAAAGAAAAAAAAGAGGAAAAAAAACCCAAAATAAAATGGGGGGGGGGGGGAGAGAAAAAAACCCTACAAAAATCCAAACAGATCATGGAGCTGCGAGCATTTGAAACGAAATGCGTGATTTACACTTGAAAGAAGAACTCGGGATGCTGCCACCACTTCCCATTTCAAAGCGCGGTCAGCGCTCCTCGCCGACGGGCAGGCAGGAGGAGCAGGGACGGCGCCGGGGCGCCCCTGCCCCCTCTCCTCCACTGCCCGGGCTTGGCTGCTCGGCGCCGCCCCGCCGATGTTGGACGGAGTTTTTCTTACACGGTTTCTATCGACACCGGCTCTTCCTGGCGCGGGGGCCAAGGGGTGCCTTTCCCGTCACTCCCCATGTCCAGGACTCCGTGCAGGCGCTGAGCTGTTCCCGCCAAAACCCTCTCACCTACAGTATGGGCGCCAAAGCCGCCTTCCCTTTCCGCCGACGTGCAGCGCCCGGCGGGGGTTGCCAGGGGCCCGGCGGGCTTCCCTGCCGGCAGCGGCTGTGCCGCTCGGGGGGGAGGGCAGGGAGGGCAAGCCGCTTCGCCCGCCGGGGCGCCCTGGAGGGTGATAGTCGGGCGCCCACCGGCGCGGGTGTCCGGCGGCCGCTCTCCGTCAGCGCCCCAGAAGCAGTGGGTCTGTCCCCGTAAGCCTCCCATAGCGCCGGGCTTTGCCCCTGGGCTTTTGCTTAACGTTTCCAGAAAATGCGGCTCTTTCCCAGCGGGGCCGTCGCGGCGTGCCTTCCCGCGCCTTTGGGAGAGAAGGGCAGGACGTGCGGTAAACACCCCCAGGTTCCCGCCTTGCCCTGACCGGGTTTATTGACCTCTGTATTAATCCCGCGGACTTTTATTAGAAAACGTGAGGCGTTTTGATTTTTTTTTTTTTTGGGGGGGGGGGGCTTGGTCTGTTTTTTTTTAACAAAGGATAGCGCCGACTCAACTGCGCGCTGCCCACGGCTCAGGTCTACCAGGGACGGGATTTGCTCGACGTGCGACCGCGGGATGTGAAGTTACGGGTTTTATAGCGGCGCCCTTCGCACCGCTCAGTTGTTTTAGGGAAATGCCGTTTCAGAGCGCAGCAGGCGCCTCTCTCCCTTCGCCCGCAGTCCTTTGGCCGTCCAGGCGCCCTTGTCCCGTCACACCTAAGACGGGCGCGAACGCCTCTGCTCCTTTACGGGAACGGGGCAGCCCTCGCCAAGGGATCGCGCCGCTGTTCGCAGGCGGCGCTGCTCGAACTGACGGCTGGAGCGCGGTTTCAAACACGAGCTTTACGAGCATTTTTTGTTGAAACGAAACAGCGGCGGCTGTAAGCGTCTCGCAGGTCCGCCCTGCCGTCCGTGGATCTGTGCTGGCAATCCCGGCGGTCTGCTGGGGAGACTTATTATTATATATTGGGAATTGCTGTGATCCCGCGCACGATCCGCGGGCAGGAGGACGCGGCAGGGACTCCGTCGGAGCGCTCGGATACAGGATGTGGTCTCACGTACATTAACCGTCTCTCAGCTGCGGATTTGCAACTGATAGCGGCCGCTTTCCCGGCGGATTTAAAGAGGCTCTGGCCAGTCGCGGTAGACCGTCTGACAGGGCTAACGCCCCACAGAGAGGACCGGCCCTCGCGGCGGAACCGGCCGCAGAGCCCGCTCTCACCGCTTCACCTCCCGCCAGGTAGGCGCAGAGCCACGAGCGGACGGATTTGTGCCTCGTGTGCTTTCGCTCCAGCCCCTCTCCTCCCCTGTGACAGCCCCCTTGACAGGGGCTTGGTGTGCGTACCCGGGCGCATCCTCCCCGACAGGCAACTGCCCAGGCGCTCTCGCCTGCGCCCGCCCGGCGATGACGGGGGCTCTCCTCACCGCACAACACCCGGCCTCTGCCATCGCCCGCCCCGGCTATCTGTCTCCCGGCGCCGTGCGGGAACCGGGACGCGCGGATCCCTCGGGCGCGCAGCGCCCTCCGCGGGAAGCCCCCGCCCCAGCGTGCGCGGCCGGGCGGGCACGGAGAGTGTGCCAGGGCTGGGGGCTGGACAGGCGGGCTGGAAAGGCAAGTGGGGCTGAAAGGGCGGGTGGGCGGGAATGCTGAGATGTCGCGATGGGAGGAGGCTGCGTGGCGGTAACGTGACAGCGGCACGACAGTATCGCGAGGAGCAGGTATGTTGGCGACTGAGATGTGTGCGCCCATTGGCACGTCTGTTGCGTTGGTGGTCCTGCAGCGCTCGTACAAACCTGTGGGCTCCCACAGCTTGCGACAGGTATCTGAGGTAGGGTTACTGTAAATAAACTTCCCTTACGTAATTGTTTATTTGTCTTGCAGAACACTCAAACTGCATCAAAGAAGAACTCTGGAGCCTGTGCACGAAATTAACGAGTCTTCCCCCTCCCACCCAATACTTATGTTCATCAAAGTCAGCGGGACAGAAGTGCTGCAGTACCTCAGTTTTACAGATACACAGTCAGCCATGTAAGATGCTACAGAGAAGACTGACCTGAGCATGAGGAGACCTTCTTGAATGACCTCATCGTCTTCTGAGGAACCTAAAATCAGAGAGCTGGAGTCAGTACTGTGTACACTGTACCAGAGTACCATATTTAATTACCTCTTCTCCAGTTTAACAGCTCATTAGGAATGCCAGGGCATTGACTCTATGAAGTGACCTATAAACTTACTCTATGAGACTTACCTAGCTCATCAAAACCACAGTGAGATAGCCAAGGCATAAGATAAAAAAATCAGCCACTGTTTTTTTTTTTTCCTAGCACCAGTAAAGGCATTGCCCCTTTCACTGGTCTCTTATGAAGGCTATGCAGTTGATGACAACAGAGGGAAAAAACACAGATTTGCAGAATATTTGAAGGTGTTTTGTTTTCTTCATCAATAATTAATTGCAATAGGTAACCTAAGAACTAGTGACTTTACTACGCTTAAATTGTACATACCAAGCAATGAAGTCATACCTTGTGTATGATTAAGGAAAAAAAAAACAATAAAGTAATTCTAAGGATTCTTTCATGGTCTAAATTGTAACTCTGCCAATTTATGAATATCAACAGAAAAATGCTTTCAATTATGTCAGTGATAAAACTTCATATTATGTAATGGTATTAAATTCTAGGTCTTAATCTGAACAAAACCAGTCACCCATACAAATACAGATGTGTGACTCAACTGAAACTTCATGGAAGATCTACCTCTGGTCTACTTGAGAAAGGCCTAGTTAATTTCACAGAATGCTAATAAAAATATAATGCAGAAAAAAAGCATTGCAGATGGCAGGAAACATGAAGAAAAATACCTTGGTTTTGCAGTAAGTTTGTTACTTATGCTGCCCAGTTTGTTTACCAAATGAAAGATGGGTAGATAAGAGCATGCACAAACTCACCTGCCACCAGCCTGTCCTCTTGTCACCCTCTACTGTCTTTTTGAATAATCTATCTCAATTAAACCCCACCAAAACCAGTTATCAACCTGTTTAGATATAATCCCAGTTCTCTTTCTGAGAAATCTGAGTTTTGTCTTCTTTCCAATTTAAGAGAAATCCAGTTACCCTGCTCTCTTAGTAAAATTTAAAAAAAAAAAAAAATCAGATAACCTACTAGGAGTGAGCAAAGTAAGAACAAGAACGACCAAAGTCAAATGAAAGCCAAATTTCTCTTTTAACTTCTTTTCCCCTACAGTCAGTTATCCTCAATCCTTTCCAACATCAGAAATCAGAAATCAGGGTAGTAGAATCTTTCTTTTCAGTGCAACAACACTGGCAAGCTGATTTTGTTCCTCTTTTTTTGTAATAACTAAGTTTTCCACTGGAATTGTGTGGACTTCTGCCACATTTTAAACCTAGCTCTGCTTTTACACTTTCAAGCTCTGAAGTCCAATCTCTTGTATCTGTTTCTTTGTTCTGCCAACCTGTGGCTACGTGGCTTTTGTGTCTTTCAGATTTACTTGCATTATTTATACAACATAATGAAATATGCAAGCATAGAGTAAAGGATCTGTTCTTGGCTTTGGCACGTAGCCTGCTTCAGTTTATGAAGGGATTAAAAATAAGTATTTGGAGAGTAGTGTCAGGACTAAAAGCAGGGAAGTATAGTTCTTAAAAATTGTAGCAGAAAACAGCACAAGTTCAAGTAATTCTTGTTTCCACTACTGTCATTTCATAACACATTTGTAAGCATCGCATCTTTTAGAGGGTCAAACAAGTAGTACAGATTATTAAGCAGAAAAAAAAATGTATTTTTTTAATAGTTATTACAAAAAGCTTCCTCACACGGTACCCAAAACTTGGCTTTAAGGATATTAGTGTAGAAAGCCTGGGCATTTCAATTCTGGGAACTCATTTAAACAGAGAATTTAAACGAAAAACTATTTTGGCATGTATTTTGCTGCATCCTACTGAAAGAGGTAAATTCCATTTAAATGGAATCAGGTTTGGGCTCTGAAATAGCTCATGGTGAACTCTCTCCTGTGCCTCCTTATGCTGTACAAACCACAAAAATATTCTAGCATTTTAGTTCTGAAACTACCTTGGCATTTACATGAACTTTGTAACTGCAAATAAGTAAATAAATGCTGTTTAGGAATTTTGCACTAGACAGCAAGGTGTTTTTAGAGAAAAAGTCCCTTCCTCTGAAAGCAACCCTTATTTTAACTAGGCATTCACAGCATGTGGAATGATACTGTAACAGTAGGCACAAATATAATGCAACAGAACACCATATGGAAATATTGCTGGATAGAAAATACAATGAAAAGTGTAGTATCGGTTAAAGGCACACTGACAAACACCCAACAAAGGTAATAACCTTCCATTACAGGTGGCACGTTCTGTAATTCAGCTTACTTAACAGCTTATGTAGAGTATTTTTTGACAACTTATTGGTCAGTAAAAAATAACAGCAAGCTTGTATATATTTTAAAAGAATTCTCTTAGCTATGGATAGTTTTGAATTCATTAGCTTAAGTAAGTTTGCTGCCAAAGGATTTAGAAATACAATTTGCTTGGAAGAAAGTAAAGCAGCCATATATAGTTACTCCTTTTAAGTTATATTCTTTCCTCAAAAAGTAAGTTGAAAAAAAAAATTCAGCTGTTAAACCTGTTTCTTTCACAGTCAGGAGTACCAAGGGAGTGATTTCTTCCACAGAGTAAAGCCAACAGTATTTTTTTTAAGGAATACTAGATAATATAAGTAGGATCAGAGTGCAGGAAAACTAGAAAACAAACCCCACCAAAACTTTATTGTATACCAAACAAGTAAGATAGTGATGCAAAGGAATAGGGGAAAACATTCCAATGTTAAAAGGATCTCTTTTAGTTAACTCAACAGGAGTGAAGACTTAAATGGATGAATGTTGCAAAGCGTATACACAAAATTTTAAAACTCTGTGTACAGAACCCAAGTATAGAGCATAAAACATCAGTTTTTAAAATATATACACACATTAGTCAGATAAAATTAATCTTACTCTGATTTACAGTTCTTAATGGCTGGTAGAAGCACTATGCACACAGTATTTTGATTTAAAACACCACAACTGAGTGTAGCCTTACACTCTAAATTAACGTGTTTTACACATATTCCTCAATGCGTATTTCTGAATAATGGATGTCTTCCTGAAATGGTTTTATTGTATCAACTCTTTTTTTCCCCTTTTCATTTAATTCAATAAAATATAGTTTGAAACGCAAAAATAAGAAAACTTAAGATTTCCTGAAAATGTATACTCAAGTATCAATGTCCTTATAAAATTACAGGGGGAAATAAGTTGAAAGTTCTCACAATTTTCTTCTTAGTCTAGCTATAATTTACTTTGCTGTTCTTCCATACTTCTGTTTTTATATCATTATTTTTCTAGCAAGTGAAGATGAAAGCAAGTGTCTACTAGATTTCAAAATATTTAAATAATGCTGACTTAAGAAAATTAATTGAACAACTAGCAAATTAAAATTTAGTCGTTCTTTGGTAAGTTTACCCACTTTTATCACTGAATTGAAGGAAGGTAATTACAGCTTCAAGTAAATAAAACAGCTAGGCAATAGCCCAGGTATGATTTTTTCCCTATAAAAAAAGAGTCTATGCATATCTTAGTTTTTAAGAAATGAAGTACACATTTTTGTAGACCAAACATCCAGTCATGTACACCTTTTAACTATGTGTAAAATGCCATTTGACTATAGTGAGAAGATAACAAAAAAGGGTAAAATGTGCTTCCACCACTGTTATGAATCTGATTCTTTTGGCCAATAAAAAGGAACAATAAACTCCACCATATCCAAACGTGAGCTAATGAAAGTCTGACAACTATAAGGTCAGAGTTTCTCCTCAAAATTAAATGCTATTATTATACTGGCAATTGCTTTAGCATCACAAACTAATTAGGATCTATGTAGTTTAAAACTTCAATAATACATACTAAAGGAAACTGCTGAACAAGAATATTTTTGTTTTAAGGACTGAAATTACTATATAATTCTCATATTTAGTGTATTTGATTTAGTAAAATCTGCAATTTCTTACAGTCTGTATTTGAATATATATATATATTAAACAACTATCATAACTATTTAATTAAAAAGAAATGAAAAACAAGTATTTCAAACAATATTTTGTGATTCAAAGATGAACTTTTTAAATACACAATTTAAAAATGAAACACATTATCCTCAACTACTGTTCTTCTACTTTCATATTTAAAATAATTTGTTCCCAGTTCACTGTTAGCAGGTGCTTGTTGAAATTGCCATACTCTGATTTGCTATACAGCAAATGAAACAAAAAACTACCTTGTAATCTTGTTGTATGTTTTCAGATGGATTTTTCTTTGTATTTTTATACAATTTAGTATCAGTACCTTGTGAGGAAAAAACTTTAAAAAGCCACAGTTCTCAAATCATAGATACATCAAAATATTTTTCAGAGCTTGATCATTGATTTATTTTGTAATTGCATATTCCTGTGAGAAACTATAGAGAATAAGATTTTATTTCCCCCCTTGATAAGTACTTGCAAACAAAACAATGCCAAATGAAGTGCTGAAAAGATACATGTCAAAGGCCAAATTAAGGAGACATTATCAACATTAAGTTGAATTAAATAGTTAAATCTTCAAAGAAAAAAGTGTGGTTTTTTGCAGTCATCCTGGTTACACAAAAAACGAATTTGTATTGTTCACATTCAATATAGAGACGTTACATCATCCCCTCAAAAGTGATGGCACTACAAGTTTTATTTTTAAAATATATTATTATATAATTTTTATTTGCTTTTATTTATTTGCTGAACTGGTTTGTTCAGACCTCCTTTCTGAGATGTTTTACATTAATACTTGTTTTGATGGAATTTACACACCTTTCATATATCTTTTCCTTTGCACAGAATTTCTGTTTTATTTGCATGTGCTATTTACCTACAAAACACAGAATCTTCTTTCTTCATTTTGGTTGGGTTTTTTTGGTTCACTGAATTATTACTTGAGAACACTAATAAAGATGGAGTTTTTTATCATTTGTAGTTTCTAACATGCTTATCAAATACTGATATGGATATTGTCTATTAAAATAAACATTACATTAGTTAAACAGCAGGTTAATTGTCTGTATTTTAAACACCAATATTCACTTTCCTAGAAGTATGGATAGTACGGGGCACACCTTTCTCATTTCAACTGGAGTGGACATCAGTACTGAATGTCATGCCTTCTGACAGTCACTGTTTAAAACAACCAAACAAAGTAATGCAATGGTCATTTTTTATAAACTTTAGTGCA